TCTTTTTTCAATTTGAATAAATATTTGAATGATTAATTGTAATGAATATAATCAATATAGATAAAAATAATTTTCGATATTATTATGTTTCATTAAAAATATAATATAAAATGTTTCATTCATAGGTACATGCTGAATTACATATTTATATGCTGAATTCAATAAAGAACAGAAGAAAAATATATTTTTACGTCGATTATATTGAGAGATGACTGAAAATATACGCTGAATTGAACACATTAAATACTAGGACGCTAGTGTGAACATTACGCGATCCCATCAATTCATTTGACCTGTGAACTTCAGATGATGGTGCGTTTAGGGCCAACGACACGCGTTCCAAGTATATGCAGCAGAGAAGATGCAATCTTCGTGGTTGGTAGTCCTCGTTTCATTGTCATCTCGTTTAAACCATTATTCTCTACATTGACAGTTATCCTAGGCAGTTAGCTTGTTTGCAAAGTGCACGTAGTGCTCCACTTGCTTTCAGGCTAGTGTCGATCAATGAAAAGGCGACACTGAATAGTTTATAGTCAAAAAGCGTTTAAAAGCTTTGCGACTTTTAAACCGCTAGTACGATCACAAAGAATAGACACACAAAGTGCGTTTGAATGAATATATTGTTGGCCTAGATACAATTTTCCCGCCTTTTTGTGGTTGTAGCTATTATACATAGTTAATTCTTACCATCCTTTTCTAAGTATATGTTTTCTTGATATTATTTTTTATTTTTTAGATGCAGTGTGATAGTAAAAGAATAGAAACATCGATTGACATATCTTCATAGTTAGTGAAGAAAATAATTACAAGGTTGTGACTTTTTACGACTGTTCTCAAGTTCTACTATGAAATTACAAACATTAATCGTAGCTACTGTATTAAGTTAAGGATATTTATAGACCAATTTTCTGTCTTGCGCAAAGAATTAAGAGTTCTTCAACTGCCAGAGTGTTTATGACAAAATTAAGGTAATTTATCGGTAAAACGACGATGCGCAATCTCTTTCTATATGGCTAGGTCTTTATTTTTCGTATCTTCCTCTCTTCATTTTCTCGATATTTGCATCTTTTTAATGAAGAGGCGACATCGAGTGATTTTGAGCATCTTGTTCAGAGGCCTTTTCGATGCTTAACGATCTAGCAAAAAAGAAAGAGAAAGAATAAGGGACAAAGTAAGGCGAACGTTCGAAGAAGAAAGAAGGGAGAGAATCAGGTTCAAGATCGTTAATTCCGACTTTGTCGAGGCAGTTGGTGCATTCAAGAATGATGTGTAAGAGCTCCCGCTCGACGTAGAATCATGACTCGATCTCGATACGTATAATTCTCCAGGAGATTCGAGCTTGAATATAAAGATACCTGTATGGAGAGCATTTCTCTTGCGAGTAGTAGTTGACTCGCGAAAAATGCTACGTCCTTGAGGTAACTGATACTCGAGATCATGCTGTGACAGCGATATTGCAAACCTAGTGCACTATCGATGGCGTAATGGTTATATACTGATATAATCAAAAGATTACTATGATTGTAAATATAGATATTTCTATATCTAAATTATTTATTTAACTTATTTATATCTTATTTTTTTTTCTTTTTTTCTTTTAATTACTATATAATATAATTAAGAATTAGGCTTTGGAATGAAATATATCATACAATTATAAAGATGAGTTAATACAAAGAAATAATATATAATCATTCTTATTTGATTCATGGAAAAAATGACTCATAAGCGCTTTTGTAAACGCTAAAAACGATAAAAAATCCAAGGTTTCTTTTTAGAAAGTTGGATAGGTGTCAGTGCAACGACATTACTCGTGAAATATTTGTTTCGTTGATTTACTCTAATGAATGTGCTTATAGTGGAGAAGAGAGCGCATGTTAGCGCGCATTTAGCTAAGTTTAGCGGTGGTTTCAGATGGCTGGCACTGTTTTCTCGGCGATGTATTATCGAGGCGTTAACAGCATTACGCGCTTCGAACTTGCGGTTCGTTCAACCCTTGTAATCGCGAGAAGGTAGATCATAGCAATTGTTGCAGATTCAAAAATCATTCGAGCAAGAATATCGAAATTTGTATTTAAATCAAATCAAATATTCGTTTATGTAGATCCACTTAATCCATTTAAAAATTAAACGATATATTTATATGTTCTATAATTTTATTTCATTTTTCGATAATGAAGTTTCAGCATTTATCAAAAGCTATGATTAATTTTATGTGATGTATTTCATTTAATATAACGGCGTATGCAATATTTTCTCGCGTACTTCATACTTGACCACCGCTGTTTACATTAGTTGCTTTGAAAGTGAACCAGCAGATGTGCATGTGCGTATAAACACTTGAATCCAGCTTTGGGTTCCAGAAGACGTTAAGGGAATTTCGTTACAGATAGTTTGTACGATATGTGAATACAACTGTTTCATTTCTTGTAACTTCGATATATTCGTTCCATATAGACTAATAATATATAGATTGCGATAGTTCAAAAATCAATAGATTTGAGAATGATTTGACATAACGGTTCCATAGGTCAGATGCATACTACTGATCGATTTCCTATATTTTACTGTTACAGTGATATATGGAACTATATTGTGCGAAATGTCGAGTCATAAATAATTCTGTATTTGCTTACAATATTTCTCTTTATATAGTTTCCATCTGACATGAATTAGAATGATTTCATTGCTTTCTTCAAACAACATTCAAGGGAAATTTGATTTATATTCATCAACAATATTATACATCAATCTTGCGATTTGAGTAAATTATTTCATTATTAATGTAAGTATAGATACAGTATTTAAATAGATGAATTGCATTTTAACTATGTTTCTAATATCAATTTAATCCGACAAGGAGATAACTAATATCAATTAAGATTAAAATGACAATAAGTATTCGCGACAATGTTAAGATTCGCGTTTTCCGTTTGATACTACGAAAGCTGAGTGACCTCGGCTCTGAAATTCCGTTATATTCATCATGTGCAATCATCTCTAAGCTTGTCGTCTATCATATATCTTCTTGTCAACAATGATTAAAAATACACAATTCTTTCGAATTATATAATTATATAAAAAAATTTAAAATTCATAAGAAACTTATAATTATATATGAATAGAATGAATTCCAAATTCTGTATTAAAGTATTGGAATAGAAAAATATGTAGATATGTATATTCTAAACATTCAATCGACAGATAATCTTTGTTAGCATTTTACAGTTTAAACAAAACTTCCAGAAACGATAGAAATTCTTCGCAACCGGGCTCTAACCGATTTCTATCCGTGAATCATCATCATCCGTTATAAGTCGAGTTTCCAAGTGAGAAGATATTTTTAAACAACAAGTTAACTCATCCTCCCAAGTTAACGAGTAAATACCATCCTATTAGTAGCGTGGCTAACGTGTATCACCATCGAACAATCGTTCTAATGGTCGTTACTCCCGATCGCGTAGGATGGTCTATCGAGAGCGCGCAGGAAGTGGCGCGATGATTACGTGTTGTGATTGGATTTTTCTAACAGAAAACGGCGGCGATTCAGAGGAACGAGGCACGATCATCTCTTAAAGAAAACTGGTGGATCGTATGACGGTGCAAAAGAACTGGATGCACCATATTCGGAAGCGGCACGGTTTCGTAAGGAAAGGCTCCACGTTGACCGATGCCAGGCCAGGAAAGACTCACGCTCTCGTATCTTACGGCATACTTTGCTTCGGCTACGTGATCGCCATTTATAATATCCCCCTCGGCTTCCCTTCGATTCTCTCCATTATCTTGTATGCCTTCGAATGTAAGATAAGTACGACCGTTCATTCATTCATTCATCGCTGGCCAGTGACGTCCGCGTGTTTGTTCCGTTTCTTTTCGATTTATTGGTTTGCTCAAATATAGGACGAAAAATGCATAGCTTTCTGGATCGATTAGCGCCAGGGAGTTTGATAAAGTTCTAAATGATTAATACTGCACTTGCGATGTTGATGGACTTAATGATGTTGAGACGTTTCACTTGGCAATAATTCGAGGATATGCGATCGAAGGCAATGGTGATAACTTGAAATAGGAATAGATGATCTGACAGATTTGTGAAGGATATAGGATATAGGATATTGTTCGAGTAAGAATTTATAGCATAGGTCGGTATAAAGCAATATGATCGGAATCTGAATATTCTGGTTTCTGGTAAAAATACGTCTAATGTATGCGGTTGCGTCGGGTTTTGAAGGACTCTGTTTAGATATCGAAGAAACGAGTGAAAGACCGTTTTGATCAAAGTACGATGAATCATTCGAACAATTTACCTTTATAAGTTAAACACTTGTCTCTGAATTTTGAAGGGATGATTAGTTATTCAAACTTCCTATATATGTACATCTATAAAATAAAATTCTCGTGACTCTTGAAAAATCGCTAGTCGTACAGAATCTAACCAGGTATTTAAGCATCATGCTTATGACTTTCTGTTGGCCGACCTAAATTTCAAGAGTTTACTGCTGCATCTACCGGGGTCAATGAGTGTCAACGCGATAGATGACGAGACGTCGTTGCCACGTCGACAATAATTTCGCGGTAATATCGAAATGACAATGAAACCACTGCTCTTGTTTTAGGAACAAAATATTTAAATCAAAATTCCTTGCTCTTTTTTCAGCCGAATCATCATAATAACTGTGAGATTTGAATTATCCGCTTTTCCACAAATTTCTCGAGATAGTTGCGAGAATTTAATACATTATGTATAATATTATCATTAATAATATCATCATCATTATTAATAATTATCGTATAATATTTTTATATGATATGTTTTCATTTGAAATATTATTTATTAATTTTTTTTGATTATCTAAAATGTAATTGTACAATTATTTAATTATTAAGATTGATATATCATTGTGTATAAATTTATTACATTAAATTATAAATGCGATAAATTGGCTTACATTAAGAATAATTATTTTTCGATTATAATATAATAATTAAATATGTTGCAGATGAGCGGGAAGATGTGCAAAAGAAAACGTTTGCAAAATGGATAAATTCGCAATTACTTAAGGTACGTGTCATGTTTTTAAATATAAAACAAAAATAGGAATATGTTAATATAATCAAATAATAAATTAAATCTTTATCGCAGAATCATCACGAGCCGATTTCTGATTTGTTCGTTGATTTACGAGATGGCAATCGGTTATTGTCTCTCCTGGAAGTTCTCACGTCTAAAGTCTATGTAAGTATAGTATTTTCAGTATAGGTGAATGATTACATAAACGGATAGGTACGATAGCTTGTTACGAGACATACATGGTATTTTTATTTTACGTCTGATGTAATCTTTTAAACATTCCGCTGACAATTATTTTTTTTTTAAATGCTTCTTGGAGTAGCACGTCTCGTGTTTACATTATGAGCTTTACGAATAGAATTCCAAACAGGTGCGCCTATCGAGCATTACGAATATTTACATAAAACTGCTAGTTATCTATATATAGTAGGCGTAAGAATATTCCGAGCGAAAAATATGCATCGTTCCGCATATTTATGCTGTTTCATGAATATCTTAAATCATTCGGAAGAATCGCTTTATTTAAATATTCCTTTAAATCGCACTACTTATAATTCTTTTTGATGATTTTCTATAAAAATAAAAATCGTATACCTAATCTTATAATCTATTTGTTATTTACAGAAAAGAGAACGCGGTCGAATGAGAGTTCATCATTTGAATAATGTTAATAAAGCTTTGCAAATTCTTGAACAAAATAATGTAAGTTGCTGATATTTAATTAAGAAACGATATAGAAAGTGCAAACTAATGTTTCTTATCATTCTCCTAGGTAAAACTCGTAAATATTAGCAGTAACGATATAGTTGATGGGAATCCTAAGCTAACACTTGGATTAGTATGGAGTATTATTCTACACTGGCAGGTCAGTTTTATGATTGGATTAATTTGTCTAGAATGAAAATTATCAGTATGTTTTTATTATTGTGTGTTATCATTTTTGTTATCTTATGTGATTTTTTTTAAGTCATTGTTTGAGACTAAATTAAATGTTTCCTTAGGTACATTACCATCTGAAAGATTTAATGACAGAACTACAACAGACGAATTTAGAGAAAACTCTTTTAGCATGGTGTCGTCAGAATTCACAGGTGAAAATATAATATCGAATTAAAATAATATCTTTTTTAATTTATTGCTGTAATATATGATAAAATTTTGATATTTATATCGTTTTTAGAATTATTCTGGAGTTGATATTAAAAATTTTACTACATCTTGGTCAGATGGTTTAGCATTCAATGCTATTCTTCATAAATGGAAACCGCATTTATTTGATTTTAATAACATAGCGCGTAAACATCCCAATGCTAGACTAGATCATGCATTTCGTATTGCTCAGGAACAATTGGGTATTGAACGTTTGTTGGATCCAGAAGGTAATATAAATCAAAAAAATCAAATTAATGTTAATTTTACTTCTACAATATTTATTACAATATTTAAAAATTATATATTGTATTTTATGACAGACGTGAATACATCGGTGCCGGATAAAAAATCAATAATGATGTACGTTATGTGTCTTTTTCAATCATTACCTCATTCTGGAGATGATATAGGCGAATTAGATCTATCAGTAGCAAGTGATAGTAGCCCGGTTACTACTCCGGGAGCAGAGGTAACTTGATTTTATATTATTCGTATAATTTATAAAAATATATATAAAATTTATATTTATATTTATATTTAATAATTTATAATTTATAAAATAAAAATATTTGTAGAATACATTATCTTTTACAAATTTTGGAACACCAACATCACGACCGATGAGTCTTGCAACAAACGTATCGGTAGAACTTGGTGGTTATCAAGTTGCTCTCGAGGAAGTTTTGACTTGGCTTTTGGAGGCAGAAGATAAATTAAATCATGCTCCAGATCCTGGATCTACTTTAGAAGTATTAAAGCAACAATTTCACGAACACGAATCATTTTTGGTAGAATTATCCGGCCATCAAGATGGTGTTGGTGCTGTATTGGAAGAAGGTGCGAGATTATTAGCGGAAGGCGGTTTACATAAGGATGAAGAACACGAAGTTCGTGTTCAAATGTCATTATTAAATTCTCGATGGGAAGGACTTCGAATGCGTGCAATGGAAAGACAAACTAAAATTCATGAGGTGAATATAATGACAATAATATTAATTTTATATATCATTAGTAAATAATTTTTTAATTACTCTAGGTTCTTATGCAAATGCAACAAGGTCAGTTAGATGCATTACGACAATGGTTAACAAGAACTGAAGATAGAATTTCGCGAATGGCAGCTATTGAATTAAATCAATCTGCCTTAGATGAACAACTGAAACAATTGAATGAACTAGAGCAAGATATTGAGGCACAGCAGGGAGTTGTTGATGGTATGAGAAATATGGTAGTTGTTGTAGATGAAGAAAATTCTGAAGCAGTTTATGCGCAAATGGAAGATCAATTATCTGCTCTCGGAGAGCGATGGACTCACATTTGTCAATGGAAAGAAGAAAGGAGACAACGTTTGCAGGCTCTTTCTTCACTTTGGCAAAATGTTAATGATGACTATAAAAGATTAGTGTCATGGTTGAATGAAACTGAAATTACTTTAAAACAAATGGAAGCAAATCCTGCTTCCGAAATTGGTGAAGTACTTGAAAGAATTAAAAAATTACAAATATTAAAAATGGATATGGATGAAAATCAAAGAAAATTAATGTCCTTACAAGAATCAATTCAAGAACTGGAAGGACAAAATACTTCACCAGAATGTATTAATATACTAGAAAAAATCGAAAATTTGCAAGATCGATGGGAAGCAGTGGGACAAATAATGGAAGTGCAGACACAAAGGGTAACATAAAATTTATTTATTTTCTATATATTATTTATTTTCTATCTATACAAAAAATATTTTTTATATAATATTAGATAACAAATTCGGGATTTGAATTCGATTTGAAGACTGAGAGGGAAACAACTGTAGTTACAGGCAATGAATGGATGTCGGAAACAGTAACAAGTATCGCTTATAAAGAAGAAATTACTGCAACTGTATGTTTGCGAAAAATTTTATAAATTTTATAAAATATTTATTACATGAATTTATATTTCTTATATTTCTTATATCTATTGTTTTTCTTTTCAGTCTACACCTCATAGTGATTCAAAGAAACGTCGCGTAGATAGTACAAGTAGACATGAATTTGAGTCAGCATTACATAATCTGTATAAATGGCTCGATTATGTTGATTTAGAAATTGGACGATCGGAGGGAGTATTTGACGAATTAAGTATCGAAGAAAAGAAAGTTGTTTATAATGATACAATTGCTGATATAGAAGCACATAAAAATGATTATGACAAAGTTTTAGAATTGGGGAAGCAACTTCTCGAAGAATTAAAAAATGCTAATGAATCGATTGAAACAGATGAAACAAAAATTAAAGATATACAGAATTGTTGGATGGCAACTAATAGTAGACTTGAAGAAATAAGAAATCGTATAGAATATCTAGAAGAAGTAAAAAAATTTCGAACAGAACTGGCTAGTTTGAATTTAATGTTAGATAGCTATTCTAAATGGTTTGATTCAAACAAAGGAAACAATCAAGTGGAACCATTTAGAGTAATATTGTTTTGTTTCTTTAAAATACTTCAAAATAATTTTTTTTTAAATATTTTTTTTTTAAAAATCTAAATAAAATTCTAAATAATAAAGTCTTAATTTAAATATAATTTTTGTTTAGGTGAAATTGAAATCAATGAAATCTCATGAAGAGCGTATAAAAAAATTGTTAGAAAAAGCCAAAGAATTATCAGAAAATCAAACTGGTATTAATGAAACTATCAATTTAAATGAAGATATACAAATGTTTGTTTGTAACTGGGAAAAATTATATAAAACGTAATAATTTCTTTTCGGTATTTATATTGATATATAAAATTTTATACAATTTTAATAATTTGTTAATATCATTTCAGATTATCTGAAAAATTAACTGAATTAAATGATGCTGTTGATAAAACACCGCCGAAGAAATATACAGATGCAGTTACTAATCTCACTTCTTTTATTAATAATGTGGAAAGTATGTTATTATCAGAACATATAGTAATGTCAGATGATAAGACAATGACAGAACAATTACGAAAATTCAGCGATTTGCAAAATTCTTTGAGAGAGCATCAAGAAGTTTATAATTATGTGAACAGTGTTGGACATGAATTAATAATGAAGACCAATGGAGATTCTCAGGGTCAAAGACTTAAAGATGCATTACAAGATCTTATTACTAAATGGAGCGATATACCCATAATATTAGAAGAACGTCAACAAAATTTGCAAAAAGGTATATACATACATACATACACATATATATATATATATATATATGTATGTATGTATGTATGCGCGCATGTGTCTGTTATTTTTTTAATTTTTATATGAAATTTTATTTTTTTCTTTTTTTAAAAATATATGTTAATTTTTCGTAGATATTCAATCTTTAAAAATATTCAATAATGAGCTTACAGAGCTTGAAAATTGGCTTGAAAAATCAAGCCAATATTTAGAAGAATTATCAAAAGATAATGTATCAAATGATATTGAAACTATGGAATTTAAATTAAAACAGATTCAATCTTTTTGTGAAGATATAAATGAAATGAAACCAAAAATAGAAAAACTCCAAATTTCTACAAATAAATTACTTGAAAATTCTGAACCAAAATTTGCAAATGTGTTAAACAATAAGTTAGAAGTTGTATCGCATAAATGGAATGCTATCGTTGACGGTGCTAAAAGTTTAAATGATAAGTATGAGGATACATTGAAAAAAAATGATGAAATAATAAATGGAATAGAAGACTTTACAAAATGGTTATCAACTTTAGAAAAAGAAATACCAATTGAAACCAAAATAACATCTTCTGTTGAACTGTTTCAAGTTCGTGGTCGATATCAATCATTAAAAGAAAAGATAGATAAGCGAGTAGAAGAATTTAGAAATCTCAATGAAATGGGCAATGATAAATTATTAAGTTCTGAAGGATCTTCAGTGCAAGAACTTGGTAGACGATTTACATTTTTAAATGCTCGTTGGACCGATGTTACAGATCGTATTTATGAACGATATAGACATTTACAAAATGCTAGCCACGAATATGGTGAATTCCGTGCTTTAGTTGCACAAGAAAGTGATTGGTTGGATAAATTAGATAAAAGATTAAGAAGATCAACAGAAAGAGCTGCAGATGCTGAAGAAATATCAGAAGAACTTGATGTAAGTGTACTTAATATAATTTATATATTGGACAAATTACTATAATTTTTAAAAAAATAATAAATATTTGCCTTGAAAAGGATTTAGAAAATTATATACGAAATCATCCAGAATTAAGACTTGAAAAGATACAAGAAATAGGTAAACAGTTGATTGAAAGTAATATCATGATTCAGTCCATTCAAACAGATGTAGACAATTTAACAAATCGTTGGGAAAGCTTAAATAATCAGGTATGATGATCATTATATATAATGTTATGCTTGAAATATTGATTTTGTTTATAACAAAAAATTGTATTGATGTTTAACTGCATGCATCATTGGCAAAAAAATCTATTTATTTATTTAAACATATTCATTGATTAGTTTTTTTATTCTGCTTCAAAATATTACTGTTGCTTGTACGAATTATAAATTTTTTTCTTTGTTTAATAATTATTATTCGGATAAATTTTCAATATTCTTAGACAAATAATTTTTTTATATTTATATTATATCTTTTTAAATTTTAAATAATTTTTTACATGAAAATTTTGTTGTTGAATATTATTTGATAATATATATTACACAATCTTTATTGAGTTATATAGAAAATTAGAATTATATTTTGAGTAGGCAGGGCAGCGAGCAAAGCTGCTAGAAGGATCAGTGAAGCAAGCACAACAATCAGAAGGACGTATTCTTGCCCTTCAGCATTCCTTAACACAAATAGATTCTGTACTAACAGCACGTCTTGACTGCGACCTTACAGCTGATGATTTGCCTCATGATTATCAGGTCTGTTAATGAAATTTTTGTTATTTATTTATTGAACATTTATTTAAAAAAATATGATTCATTTACAAATTAATACAAAAATGTAAATATAATATGTATACTAAAAATGTAAAAATCATCTTTTCCTCTTACATTAATAAACATTGTATATAAAACATTGCTTCTAAGAAGCATGATAGAAAAGTTATTTGTATTTTGCAAAAATATAAAATAAAAAATATATAATACATTTTTTTTTTATTATAAATCGGGAGAAAAATTAGATAAATATAAATTTTCTTCTGATATTAATTATATAAATCAAACTTTAGAAATTAATGGAAGAAATGGAACATCAACGATCTACACTTCAAGAAATGGCATTACAAATTGAATCCTACAAGGCTTCTGGAAAACAAGAAGCAGCACTCAGATTACAAGAACAACTAACTCTCATTGAACAGAAATTCTCTGAAGTTCAACAGAAATTTCAACGTTTTCGATGTCCAACGAATTTAGAACCAAGATTATCCAGAGCTTTACGAGAACTTAGAGGAATAGAAGAAGCAACTTGTTTATTAGAACTGTCATCAGAAGATCCAGAAGCTATTGAAGGTCAACTTAAACATTGTCTGGTAATAAATTATTTATTATATAAATTATATATTTTGATAAATTCAAATTTTATACTTTATTTTTTTATAGCGTTTTTATCAAACATTAAGTGAAATTAAAAGTGAAATAGAAAATATTATAATAACTGGTAGAAAATTAGTTGAAGAAAAAAGTGTCACTGAACCAGAGAAATTTTCGCGACGAATTGATATGTTAAAAGAATTATATAATAAGGTAATACGCGTAATATCAATGTATATATTTTTAATAAAATATTATTTTCTATATAAAAATTTATGTAAAAATTATATTATTATAGTTGGGTTTACATATAACTGAATCAAAAGCATGTTTGGAAACAGCATTGGATTTATCACGCGATATGTATAAAAATATGTCTTATATTAATATGTCTATAGATAGTATTAATAAAGAATTAGATAATCAAAAAAATATGCCTGATCTTCCAGTTAATGCGATATATGTACGAGTAAGTATGTGATTAATATATAAGTACATAAATTTAAATTTTATGATTTTTTATAAAAACGAATAACTGTGAAATTGCTTAAATAGGAAACCTTGACAGAAGTAATACCACGATTAAACGTTGTAAAAGATAAATTGTTAAATTCACAGGATGAATTTTCTAAACTTTGCGATCCTATGTATTTAGAACAACTTAAAGAAAAATTATCAGATGTTGTTATTAGATTAGCAAATACTGAAAAAAGATTAAGATTATGTAATGCTTCAGAGGTAAATTTATTATACATAAAAAAATTAATATTAATATAAAGTGATTCAAATATTTGAAATATTTGAAATGATTCAATTTTTATATTTTTAGGAAGAGCCTAATGTTGATGAAATAAAAGCATGGCTTTTACAAGTTGAGGAAAAACTAAATAAATTAGATAGTGTTCCGGTTGATCAATTGACGGAAAATCACTTTGAACAATGCAAAGTAAACAATAATTTTTAATTGCAATATATTAATTAAAATTACATATTATATATATTTTTAAAATTTTTTTCAATAACTTATGTTAATTTTTAGGCTGTTCAAAGCGAAATGATTGAAGCAAAACCAAAAGTCAACCAACTACAACGTTATACTTATTACCCGAAAGTTTCAGATGTTTGTAAAAAATGGGAGGATATATCTAATAGAATTCAAGTATGTATAAATATTTGTGTAATAAATTTAAATATCATCCATTGCTTGTTTTCTCATTGCTTGTATTGCTTCTTCTTTATCTTAACATTTGGTATATGTAATGCTTGTGCTTTATAGTACCATTACGTATATCTTATCGAAAAAAATTTTCATTTCTTCAATGATGTAATAATGATATAACTATTTCAATGATATAATTATGAAATTTTTATAAAATAATGTTTCAATTTCAATTGAAAAATTAGTTGATGCAATACGCAAAAATTTTATGTTTGAAGTTTAAAGTATAATTTAATTAATAACACATTAATTATTAATTTATAGCAATTTTATTTTTCATTTTTTTTTTATTAATTTTTTTTATAATTTTTATAATTTTACTTATTTTCTACTTATTTTTTTAAATTTTCTAATTTTTTAAATCTTTTAAAAATTTACACATAAATGAATTACATATATATTAAAATATATTATTTAAGTTCGATTAATATTTCATGTATTTAATACTTCATTATGTGTCTGGGTATTATACTATATAAGTTATATTAGTAAGTTTTATAGATCATTTTGATCTTGTCCAAGAGGTGTCTCTATCTATGTAAATAATATTGTCATTATTAATAAAAAGCAAATATAAACTTTGGTGAATGGAAAATATTTGTTTATGGATCATTTATGATATTGTCTCTCCCCTTATGTAGATTTTTATACAGAAGTCTGAATATGATTATAAAACAACGAATAAAAAATGAACAGAAATGTACTCCAAAATTTTTGTACTGGTGATGGATACACGCAACGAAAAAGCTTTGTTTGCACAATGAAATGCATTGTCACTTTCATTTTGGCCATGCTTGATATTGTCATACTATTAATGCTCTTTCAATTAACTGTCGCCTGTCCATGAATTTTCTGTTACCTATCATATTTTCACAGGAATGGATCCACAAAATCACAGACAGTTTATTAATAAAAAGTAAGATGGGAGAAACAAAGGGGAGAGACAATTATGGACGTACTAAATTGTCTAGACAGGATCAAACTTCAATGCAACTAGCTAAAAAAGAAAATAAATTGATAGATGAGAATGAGGAAATATATGGCATAGGATATCTTAATCCTGCATTTGATGAAAGTCAATGTAATATTATTTGTACACCTGAAAGTTCACCAGTTGATATTGTTCATCGAAGCCGGAAATCTTCCGCAAAATCTGAGAAAGTAAAAGCTAAAATTGTAGATGTTAGTAGAACTGTTAGACGAAAATTAGACATGAGCTCTATACCTGATGTTGTTCAGACTTCTCAACCACAAGTTGTTCATATTGATGATGATCTATCTTCTTTATCTCCTGATACAGATGTATACATGGCCGACGAAGAATTTTTTTTGTCCAAAAATAGCACATTATTTTCTCAAGTTTCTTCTAATACATTAATTACGACAGAATCTAAACCATTAAACTATAACACACAGATGAATCCCTTTCATATTGTAGAAGTAAAAGAAATGGAAATAATAAAATCAGTTGCATCTCCTGAAGATCACGTAATATTACCAAGTGCAAATGTCAGTGCAGGATTAAAGCCACAAGTTGTTGAAAGAGTAGAAATTATTGAAGATACAGAAACTGAACCAGAATCAGTAGATACAGATACAGAAGATAAAGAAACTAGGATAAAAGTTTGTAAAAATACAATTAGTAATGGGAATCAAATTGTTAATAAGAAAAGAGAACTTATTCCTATATTGAAGAAGAAAAAAATAATAGATTCATATTCTGCAAAAAATGTTAAAAAATTAACTCTGAAATTAGATGTTGAGGATATTTCAGCTGATAATCAAATTTCAAATTATAAACCACAATTTTCATGTAAAGTAAACAAATTAGAAAAAAACTCCGCGTGGAAAGATAAGGATAGCATAGCTGAATATCTTATACTCGAAGATAATGAAATAAGTACAAAATCAAGATGTTCTGCTGATCTTGTTCTCACATCAGGAATTAATTTTACAAAAAGCAAAAAAGAGCTCAGTAATGTTAAAGAATTAACATTTGAAAAAAATACAGATTTTTCAAAGTTGCATGGTAATGAAAATCATAATAATGATTATGAAAAAAATATAAAATTGATGTTATTTAGACGTGCTAGAAGTATTTCAAAAGATGATACACTAGAGGATTGTGAAAGCTTTTACGGAAGCGATAAAGAAACAGATGATGTTTTAATTTTTTCCGATGATACAGAAATTGATGTTGGAAGTTCCAGTTCAGAGGGAGAAGATTCAAATTCAAAGGAGCATATTGAGCACCTCTTGGGCAAGGTAATTCTAATAGCATTTATCTTGCCATTGTAAGATCTATCTCTATGTACAATGTATGCATATATTAATAATACAATTCGTAATAGTAACAATTAGAATTTTAACATTTAATAGATATATATAATATAGGTGAAGGCTAACATATAAATGTATAAAGAAATTTAATTCATTATGGATTTTCTTATAATTTTGTTGTATATAGATACAGACTGAAAAATTATCACAAGAAACACAACATAAAATAGAGACGAAGATTTCTAGTGATAAGAGACCTTTTAAAATTTCAACTAGTTTATCCAGAACAGGCTTAGAAAAAAGTATTTTGGAATTTGAACAAGCTGCACAACGGATGTTACATAGAATGGATGTCATGTTGATGAGCATCAGTGGAATCAGTAATGAAAAAGATCCAACTAAACGACTTGAAGTTTGTATTATATTTTTTTAAAAATTTTTTTTAATTGTAACATTAATAAATCTAAAATATATTTGAATATTAAAAATTAAGATGTTAAAAATTTAGAAGTGATTCATAAACACTAGTAATTTTACAAATAATTTTAATGTTTATATAAATTAAAAATTGTCAAAATGTATATATATTATATATAAATATGTATATAAATATGTATATATTAGTGAAATATATTTCAAAATCTTTTACATGTTTTTTAGTATTATGAATTATACATTTGTTTAATATATGTTTATTTATTTCAGGTACTAAAAGGAGAAGTTAGTACTCTTGCTCCAGATGCAGCAGCTTTGATTAGTAAAGGTGATGGACTAGTTATGACAGTACATATATCTGATCCTGTTAGAGCTGAGAAGATAAAAAATGAACATCAAGATAAATTAAGAAGCAAATGGCATCAAGTTATGTCCGAAATAGAAACGAGACGCACACAAGCACAAAGAGGAGAGGAAATGTTAAGACAATATAATGCCATAATAACAGAATTTGAAGATTGGTTTCGAGATGTACCATTAAAACTTGAACAAGTAAATAATTATGAGGGGCAATTAGAATCTTTTACTGTAGAATTTGATGCTAAACAAGAACAGATTAAAAAATTAAATGAATTAGCGGTTGAATTAAAAAAATTAAATATTGGGTATGCTGAAACTATAAGATATAGCATTAACAGTAGGTGGCAAGAAGTTAGTTCACAATTTAAAAGATTTAGTGGTAGTAAGGATAAGGACAAACATGTGACAGACAAAAAAGTTGAAGTGGTATGTTAATATTTTCTATTTTTTTTTAGTTTATCGAATAATTTTTTTTTTTAATTTTACATTTTGCAGGATGTTGGAGGAGTTGATATGCAAGAATTTACTGCCAGAGTTAATAAGATTAGAGAAGCTGTTGTAACTGTAACGAGATCTTTAAATTCTGTGCCATTGAATGGTGATGATTATGAAATTTTTTCAAATCAAGAAGAATGTTTAAAAAAAATTAATAACGCATTAAATATTTTAAAACCAAGCATTGAAGAAATCAATACTATTTTTGAAAATGTTGCTTCACAGTTAAGAAGAGAGCAAGGCGAACAAATTAGACGTTTGAGTGATAAATTACGAGATGAATGGATAAATGTTAATCAAAGTTATGTAGAAAGATATAATCGTTGGAATAAATGTTATGAAAAATGGAAAGAACTTTGCAACACATGTCGGTCTTTTTCTGATTGGTTAGATAAAACGGAAGATTCATTAAAAAAATTAAATTCTCTTGGTCAATCTAAAATATCAAGAACAAAAATATTTGAATTGGAACAAGAGATTTCTAGGATGCAAAGAATTATGAATAATATTAACGTTTCAAGTGCTAGTATTTTAACTCGCGCTAAAGCTGAAGATATGATGGAATTAAGAGAAATGATTGAAACTATAAAACGACGTTGGCAAAATATTATAACGGACTTAAATACACGAAAAGAGAAGTATGAAAAAATATTAATTAAGATTTATTTTAATAAATATATTTATATTTTTCATGAATTTATTAATATATATATTAATAAATATATTAATAAATAAAATAATAATTTATTGTTTAACTTATATGTAGCATAGAAAGCTAAGCTTTTTCTGCTACTGAGTTATTTCAGTTGTGATTTGTCTTTAGTGCTGTAGTAATCAACTCAGAATAGAGAAGCACAGATTAAATTATATTTAAATTATATATAACATTTAAATTTTTTTTATATATCAATTTTTTTTCATCATTTTAATATTTGAAAATTTTTTTAATAATTTAATTATTAATAATTATTTGTATTAATGCTTTTTAAATTGATACATTAATTTAATAATTATGCGATTTTTAAAGGAATTTTGCTATGGAAAAGAAAGTGAACAATGAAGGCAGAATTTTAGAAAGTGCTCATAATATATTAGAGCAAATCAATTCTTTATTGGTGTCAGCAGCAAATCCTTCAGATGAGACTTCTTTATCAATAAGATTGTCATTAATTAAGGTAAATTTATACATTTATAAAATAATTAAAATTTTAAGAAAGCATATAATATAATTAAAATTTATTAAAATCATATTATTTATTTAATTACAACATTAATATATACAATTTTGATATGTTTACTGATTATATAATTTTACTATGAGTATGTTTCACATCACTTATACAGTTTTAAATACAGTTTATTATACAGTTTTAAGTTGAATTATTAGTTGATAACATTTTTAGTAAAATATGTATAATAATAATTTAACTTGACTGTTATAATGTTATCGAATAAACTGAAACTGAATCTAATAATACATTTCATGTCATGACTACATAAACTAAAGTGTGCCAAGATATAAATAGCAACTCTTATTTTCTATTTCTTTTAGTATTAGATATAAATATTAAATGTAAGTTTATATTTTTTACACATAATAGATTTTTTAAAATTCTATATAATATAAATTCTAAATATAATATATAAATAATTTTTATTTTTAGGCTAGACAAGAAGAACTTTCTTCTCGCAAAAGATCATTACAGAATTTAATAATAAATCAAAATGATATTTCTTTGGGAGAAGATGAATGTAATAAATTACTTTCAGATATGGATAAGGTATCATATTAAATTTATTTATAATAAATCATATATTATTGTTTATAAATAATTATAATTTAAATTATTTTAATTAATTTTTTAGGCTAATATAAGCCTTTCCAATCACCGTGACTATGTTGAGAATAAACTTGTATCTCTTAAAAAATATATTTGTACTTTGGATACTATTATGGCTTGGGTCATGGAAACTAGAGCGAGAATAAATATATCCCGAGAATTACCTCAACAAGAACGAATCGAAATTATTAACAATATTATGGTAAATATAAAAATATGTATATATTTATTATAAGAAAAAATGAAAAATAATAATTTATTTTGTAGACCAAAGTTGAAGATCGAGAAATGGAAGTAAAGGATGTATTAGAAAATTATACTAATTTAGAGAAAGAATGCGAATCTGCAAAACAACCTATTTCTGTAGAATTACAAGTAAGTAAAAAATAATACAAAATTGAAAATTTTTAATTTAAATACAATTTTAATACAATTTAAATAGAATTTAATATAATCAATTTAATACAATTTTAAATAAAAAATAGAATTTTTTTTAGAAAAAATAAAATTTAATATAATTTAAATAGAATTTAATATAATGAATTTAATACAATTTTAAATAAAAAATAGAATTTTTTTTAGAGAAAATAAAATATAATAAATTCATTAAATATTTGATTTAAATATTTGAATATTCTAGTTATTATAAAGTACCAATAATAAAAGGAAAATGTTACTATATTTACGTCTCTAGTTATATAGGAAAAATTAATTTTAAAAGGTGGCGCTCTGATTAATGTAAGTCAGTTTTATTCGAACTAGCGTATGTGACAGGTGGATGATTGTTCGTAACTTTTATTTCAAGTTTTGTGATCAATTTTCTGTTCAGTTTTGTGTATTTTTAATAGGAAAAGTTAAAAAAATTACGAGAAGATTGGCAATTTGTGAAAAACAATGGAGAATTATCAAATTATGATGTCAAAACTGCAATTGCTATTGGAACGGCGTCATCAGGGATCGGTGAGTTTTTCTTTCCTTATATAAATCAGAATTAAGAAATAATAGCAGAAATATAACGTTTTTGTAGTTCTATATAATAAGTAGAAAGTTTCTAATATTATTATTAACTAATATTAACTAATATTCATATGAATTTTTTCATTCTACGCATATTGCGCATTTCGTTTTTGCATTCTATTGCGCGGGAAAAGTTCAATTTGAATGTTCGTACTTTAGTAGTAGTTCGTAATAACCATAAGATGGCATATTTGTCGCTAATAATAAAATCGTGTTTTATATTACAAAATATATTAACTTTCAACAATTACTATTAATTTAAATATTTTTTATTGACAAATACATATATAAAAATTTTTAGAATTTTTTTTATTTTAATTTTTTTTTTATTTTGACAAATATATGTATTTTTCATTAGATTTTTAATAATTTATTTATTTAAAATCATGTCATCTGTTAATTTTTAAGTGTTTAAAAATATTTATATTTCAAAATTAATTTTAATATAAATATTAAGCATAAAATTTTCAAAAATTTTAATTTGAAATTAAAAATATTAAATATAAAAGAAACTAAAAATTATAAATCTTGTTGCATCTTGGTAGGATAATTTTTTTTTTATGTAATAAAATTATTCAACAATTAGTATAGTATAATATAGCCATACATAAGTATCCGCTGTTTAAAAATTTAGTAAAAATAAAAGCCATACTAATTCTTAAATATGCGTTCTTTGCGACTGTTGGGGAATTTTCCAAAGAATCTGGTAACTGAACAATAAATAGTCCGTTTAGTTGGTTCGGTAACTGTAGCCACATATCACTTCCACTCCACCTCGTGGAACAATATATATTCGCCACGTTAAGTGCAGTCTTTTCACCGAGTAGCAGAGCTTTTCTTTTACTTTCGTTGCACGATCGATCTATGCATTCAGAATCGTCGACGACGATAAATTCTCCCGATTCGTTCTGTCTTTAATTAGAATTCATTCTAACAACATTCTCGTCCGAATCTTTTGATAGAAATCGAATCGACGCTATAAATCGATACGATCTTAACGTCTATAACTTTATATCTTAAATCTATATACAATAGATTTTCTTTTTTACGAGCAAAGTCGGTGATCGTAAAAACTTCGATTTAACGTGCGGCGGAATTATTGTTATTAAAAGGCTTAAGTTCGATTTAAGCTTCGGTAATCGACGTTGAATTAAAATTTTGTAACAAGCCATATGATTTGGAATCGTGTTAGGTTAATCGCGGTTGATTCAGGAAGGAAGAACGTGAGCGTGTTGATCCAAAAGCGGAGAGCTTAACGGAAAGGTCGAGGGTTTGTAGTATAAGCGCGATCGTCGGGCCGCATAATGAGCGGATAAGCCGCCTAATGTAGTCGTGGCAGAACACTAGCAGATTGAAGATAGCTAAGGCTTCGTTGTTCTCTGTCTTCCTTGTTCCTCCCTTTTCTACCGTTCTTATCGTCCTTCATTGTCTTCCACTTCGGTGTTACATCAAGATGAAATCAGATTCGTTTGACGGAAATTTGAAGGGTCCAAAAATGGATTAAGCCTAAGCTTTGATCCATCTTCCGGAATAATATATATTATTCCAGTTAATCATTTTCTACGTTTTTTTATCTTTTCGAATATTGCTCGAAATTATGATTGAGAGAGAATCAACGGGATTTCTTTGTGTCCGATCGATTGGAGAAAAAATTTAGGTCTCTTTTTTTATGTTCCCTAAGGGAACAGGATGCATAGTTAATTCATGTCGTTTTTCTCGTAGCAACGTTTTCTTCTAGACAATGATTCCTTGTCGCGATTAAATATATAACATTAATCGATTGATTCTTTGATTCGTTCATTAGGGATTATTGCATTATGTGCATTTACTATTTTTTTCTATTAATAATTTTTTAAAATAATCTTTGATAGAAAATAAAGTAAAATAAATTAGATTAGGTTCTTTTCAAATTTTTATTATTAGAATTATATTTAAAAATAAAACATATATATTTTCATTAATATCCAATGGAATTGAAAGAATCACAGAAATTTATCGAAATTCATCGTTGAAGTATGAATATTCCGTAGTTGGTTAGTTTATTAGCACGTAATGAAAAAGCTGATTAGCGGATGGATTCTCGGTAACTTTTATGCAATATAATATTTCGATATTCGAATGGGAAAGCGGATTGCAGGTTGATTCGAGCTGATGCGATTAGTAGAATATATTGTGAGCCATGATCACGTTAACGGTGAATTACGCCAATCCTAGGAAAGCAGCTTTCAACGGGCCTAGCATGTATATGTCGAGAAACGGATGTTCACCTGAACAAACTCGTTTCTCGTTAGCGAGAGAGCTCATTAAGACTTTCATGTTCCTGTGGTCACGTTTTTTGCCTAGCGTAGCAACATGATGAAAGGGGTGAAAAAAAAAAAAAAAAGGAAACGC